TATTAGGTTGATGCAAAAGTCTTTTTCATTTTTTTCGTACTTCTTTTGAAAAATAACAAAGTCATCAATTAACCTATGGTTTGCTCTAAATGAAAAGTGTTTATTGTTCAATTTCCCATCTTTTTAAGTCAACTTGGGTTCACTTTCAAGCAAATTCGAGAGTGAAAACGGGTTTTTCATAAAAATCTATAAAAACCTCTATAAAGAAATTGGCTGAATCAATTTCTCTGAAAATCTGAAAAAATATCTAACTTTTTGTGCTCTATCTTTTATTTATTAACATCAAGATTGGTTTCCTTAGCTAAAGCGTCTAAAATGCATCATCGAGCCGTCGCCTTTTTTGACTACCCGACTTCAGGCTCTCAAAAAAATCTAGACATAAGACATTTTAAACTCGTTTTAATGTCATTTTGCAGAAAAATAATTGGCCTTTCGAATGCAATAAACCGTTGTTCAATTGGTGCATTTGTTACTTTTTAACGGAAGTACGAAAAAAATGAAAAAGACTTTTGCATCAACCTAATATTTAGCTATTATTTAGCTATTATTTAGCTATTATTTAGCTATTATTTAGCTATTATTTAGCTATTATTTAGCTATTATTTAGCTATTATTTAGCTATTATTTAGCTATTATTTAGCTATTAGATTGATGGCTTTTCTTGAGGAATTTTTTTTAGAAAACAGTCAATGAAAAATCCCAGTTATTAATGAAAAATTCGATAGATCGCTAAAAAAAATGAAAAAAATAAAAATGTCATTTGTTCAAAAGTGTCGTTGCTTACAGTAATCCCTTTAATAACCCTTTAGAAATGGGAATTACAAAGAGAAGTTTTTGATTTTAGAAGAACTTTCTCGATTGCGGGAAAGGGTGGACGAAAGAGTGCCGATGATGATGTGCAACAATTAGTTGAAGCGTGCAGAAGATATCAGGTGGAAAAAAGTTTACAGTCATTTTGCTAGTTTCATTAAAAACAACCCTAATACACTATCTAGTACTGTACTTTCCGTAAATACTCTAATAGAACGCTGTAACTGTACGCTGTAACTGTACGCTGTAACTGTACGCTGTAACTGTACGCTGTAACTGTACGCTGTAATGAACGTGTACAGTCGCGTAGTCTAACTTTAAACGTCTCTTTCTCAGCGCCACTTTAAGCTACAGTTTGCTAAATAGTGTCAAATGATAGCCCTTGAAATCTAGTATTTTTTGGTACTTAAAATGTAGTTTGGAGAAGTCTACGGATTGAGAAAAAGAAGAAGAACTTTAACAGTTTAACTTCTTTAAAAAGAAGTTAGGCTGTACTAGTTAAGCTGTACTAGTTAAACTGTACTAGTTAAGCTGTACTAGTTAAGGGATAAAAATACGTATATAAAGTGCCAAAAGAACTTGATTTAAGAAAATCTATAGGCTTCCCTATAGAACAATCTCTTTTAAGGCTTGTAATGACTCCCTAACTCCTTAGCATCACCAATTCCTCAAAAACAAACTCCACTTAGTACCTCGCATTTCTCAATAACTAAGCTTCAGGACGAGCGAATCCGGGGAGTTGACTCAAATCTCCTACTCGAGGAGCCAGACGAAGGAGAAGAGGTGAGCGCTGGTGGTAGTCTGTTGGCACAGTCGATGATCGGCAACTCGATGATCCGTTCTGTTCTCTCAACAATGGCTGGAGCTGCCGCAGCAGCTAGTGCAACAGCGGGACAATCGGGTGGACGATTGAGGCCACAAGGGAGATTGTCACAGAGTGGAGGTGGTGGGGGAGGGCCGACGCTTCCCCCACGCGCCAACTCGACCACCGCCAACTCGACCCTGCCCGACGCGTCCCGTCAAGTCGATGAGGACTTTGAGGAGGTCATTTTTTTTCTATACTAACTAGGAAACGTAGCATCGATTTGGGAAATGTTATAAACACTTTAAAATACATAAAAATTTGTTTCCGCAAGTGTCAGCTACTCAAAAAGTCTTTTTTCACTCAAAAAGTCAAAAAAAATCAAATTTTTAATTCCAAATCTTTCCAAAAGCCAAACGAATGTTTAGATTTCCCAAGAAAGTCTCCCCAAATCACTCATCGCAAAGCGCAAGTGCTTAAACGCTTCTGAATCAAGCGCTTCTGCTTTTGTTAATTAGAATAACTCAGCTGTTTCCCTAATTTTTGTCTTTTTTTATTTGGCTTCTCAACGGCGTGTGCTGTGTGTTTTTTTGATTTCAAATAATTAAAATGATGACTTTGTGCTCAAATTTGTAAACGCAAACACAAAAGAATTCTGCAAAAAATGTGGCTTACAGATTTCGAGCATAAAGTTGTTCATAGTTTACGAAATTTCTATCATTCTATCATTCTATGATTCTATGATCTCTTTTTAGCTACTCCGAAGTCGAGGCGTTCAACCGCTCGGCTTCTCGATGGCCACACCGCTATAGGTGAGAAATTTCGGTGCTATGAAATCTTCGGGGCTAAAAATCAATAAAATATATCTAATTGGCTTTGGTAGAGTGGGTATTTTGCAACGATTTCTTCCCAGAAGAGGTACATTAGTGGCTGAAGCTTTGCTACTGCCAAAAGTCCTCAAAAAAAGGACTCGAAAGTCCTCAAAAAAGGGTCATCCGAATACTCTTCGTTAAGTCTATTTCTCACTCTAATTTGTCTCTTGATTTGGCTCCAACGAGACTCCAAAGGAAGTCTTTGCTGGGTATGAACACCATTTGTAGAGTTCAGGGTGCGATTCGCTTTAACCATATCATTGGAGATGATTTTGCCTCAGAATAGCCGAGTAGCACAAAAAGGTTCCAATAAGGTTCCATAACGGTTCCAAAACGGTTCCAATACGATTCCAATACGATTCCAATTTCACACAAACAAGAACACGAAACATCCAGCATAAGGTTAACGCTTGTGAGTACGGATTGACGGACGACGGATTGGTACTCCGTCGATGGCGACAAAAATGTCGGTAAATCCCGTTATGAAACCGTATTGGAATCGTATTGGAACTGTATTAGAACCGTTTTGGAACCGTATTGGAATCGTATTGGAATCGTATTGGAATCGTATTGGAACTGTATTGGAATCATATTGGAATCGTATTGGAACCGTATTGGAACCGTTATGGAACCATATTAGAATCGTATTGGAACCGTATTGGAATCGTATTGGAATCGTATTGGAACTGTATTAGAAACATCCAGCATAAGGTTAACGCTCATGAGTACGGATTGACGGACGACGGATTGGAACCGTATTGGAACCGTATTGGAACCGTATTGGAACCGTATTGGAACCGTATTGGAACCGTTTTGGAACCGTATTGGAATCGTATTGGAATCGTATTGGAACTGTATTGGAATCATATTGGAATCGTATTGGAACCGTATTGGAACCGTATTGGAACCGTTATGGAACCATATTAGAATCGTATTGGAACCGTATTGGAACCGTTATGGAACCATATTAGAATCGTATTGGAACCGTATTGGAATCGTATTGGAATCGTATTGGAACTGTATTAGAAACATCCAGCATAAGGTTAACGCTCATGAGTACGGATTGACGGACGACGGATTGGAACCGTATTAGAATCGTATTGGAACCGTATTGGAACCGTTTTGGAACCGTATTGGAATCGTATTGGAACCTTATTGGAACCTTATTGAAACCGCATTAGGCCCGTATTGGAACCTTATTTGAACCGTATTAGAATCGTATTGGAATCGTATTGGAACCGTATTGAAACCGTATTGGAATAAAATCGGAACCATATTAGTGTAAACTAAATAAAGAAAGTACAGTAGGGCCCAAAAGTTTGGAACAATCACCTTCCGGCAACTTTAACTCGATGTAACTTGCGTTAAATACATTCAATTTGTTACTTTAAAAGCTATTTTTGTTGCATTTTTTGTGGACTTTCTGAATGTCTACTTGATTTTATTTGATATTTGATCTTTTTTTTGTCTTGCTCTTTTTCTTGGAACACCCATTTTTTAGGGGTCCAAAAGTTTGGAACAATTTCAAAAATATCAATACATTTTAAATTTTAAGATGCCAAATCGTTCGAATTTGACGGAGTATGATAAAGAACTTATTGTGGCTGAAGTAAATCGAGGAAAGAGCCGTCAAGAAGTCGCCACAACATTCGGTGTCACCCATTCAGCAGTAACCAAGATTTATAACAAATGGAAGGTTTCCGGAAATGTGAAACGAGCAGCAACAAAGGGAAGGCCAGCTAAACTGGATGAGCGTGATGAGAGGACACTTGTGCTTCCATTTAAGAAGAATCCACGCCTCAATTCAGCTGATCTACGTCGAGACGCCGAGTCAAGCTATGGAGTTTCGCTCTCCAAAACGACGGCTAAGCGCATCTTAAAGTAATTTTATGATTTAAAAAGCAATAAAATATTGCTGTTTAGGAGACAAGGACTCAAAGGAAGTCGTTCGTCTCGAAAGCCGTTGATTTCCGGCAAGAACGTGAAGGCTCGGCTCGAGTTTGCCAAGAAGTACAAAGACTGGTCGGCTGATGATTAGAGTTGATATATTGTGGAGTGACGAAAGCAAATATGAGCTCTTTTCCACCAATGGAATTCGATACATTAGACGTCCAATTAATCAAAGAAACAATCCAAAGTATCAAATTCCAACAGTCAAACACGGCGGTGGATCAGTTCTCGTTTGGGGTTGGTTACCTCCATTATCAACGGAGCTTATTTGAATTTAGGTTGTTTTTCACGATACGGTGTCGGTCCACTTGTCCGAATCAATGGTGTTATGGATGCAGCTGTTTATGAAAACATCTTGAAGACCCATATGCTTCCACACGGCAGAAACAACTTGGCCAACGACTTCATTTTCATGCACGATAACGATCCGAAGCATACGGCCCGGCGTGTTAAGCAATGGCTTCAACAAAAAAACGTCGATGTGCTTCAATGGCCGGCTCAAAGCCCTGATCTGAATCCAATAGAGCATCTTTGGGAGCGTTTGGACCGACAAATCCGAACCAGAAACTTCACAAAAACAACAGAACTCATGAAGGCGCTTGAGGAGGAATGGACTAAGATCCCAAGGCAAATCATTGACAATTTGATTGATTCGATGCCAAATCGTTGCGCAGCTGTTATTAAAGCAAAGGGATACGCCACAAAATACTGAATTTTGCCGGTTAATCGTTAAATAAATTGTTCCAAACTTTTGGACCCCTAAAAAATGGGTGTTCCAAGAAAAAGAGCAAGACAAAAAAAAAAGATCAAATATCAAATAAAATCAAGTAGACATTCAGAAAGTCCACAAAAAATGCAACAAAAATAGCTTTTAAAGTAACACAATTGAATGTATTTAACGCAAGTTACATCGAGTTAAAGTTGCCGGAAGGTGATTGTTCCAAACTTTTGGACCCTACTG